AAGTTTTAATTAGAGTTTAGTGAAAATAAAGACATATTTTTCCCCATCCGAGTTCATTGATTGCCTGCTCCATCTCCCTTGAATTTTATCCATGGATTCAAGATCTTCTGCTTTATACTTTATTTCTAGCCTTGGATGAGGAGAATCGTAGGGTTTTTATGGGGCATTACATGCTTTATAAACATCAGCTTATTGAGCTTCATAATATTTGAATATGGTAAATCTATGTCTTTACCTATAACCCTTAGCTTTTCAGGTACACCAATAACACAAAAACAATTCTGTATAAAATACTCATTGCATTAAGTTTCCATTTGTTCAGATGCTTCATCAGTAAACTGGATGGTGCTTTGATCTTATATAACAATAATTCTTACTTGAAAATGTTAACTTTTTCAATTTCTGCCTGACTTATCTAAAATGTTTATAGACATTTCTTGTTTTAATCAGTCAACATGTGTTCTGAGTATATGTAGAAGATTAGCTCTGAATGCATTACTGCCTTATAACCTCCCAACCTAAGAGCCAAGTAGAGAGGGCACAGGTTTGGAGTTAGAAAGACGAGCTTTTCTATTTGTGAGTTTTGGCCTTAGGTAGGTTACTTACTCCTGGTAAGCCTCAGTTTGGTTGTCTATGAAGTGGATATAATAGGCTTAGCACCTAAATGGTGCTTAGTAAATTATTGCTATTAATATCTTCTCCCTTTTTTTACAGTCTAAACAAACAGCCTGGTTAAGTCTGAGTATTCGATGTGTGAGGAAAATAGCTAGCCACGTGAAACCTAACAGAAAGAGTATGCATCAGGGGTTTTGTTTGCAGGCAATGGAATTTGACTCTGACTTAAACCAAAAGAGAATTTATTACAATGTATGGTAGAATTTACAATCAAAACTGAATTGTTATAACAGAAGTAGGCAGCTTCAGAAGGTCTTTGGTGCATCCTCTAGACTGATGAATTCCTTCTGCTATTTTCAGTCTTTACATCCCTCTGTTTAATATTCAGTGTCCAAGCAGAGAGACTGCAATGGGTTGATCCTTGACCGTGAGCCTCCCTGGGAACTATACCAGGTTATTGAGAGGGAAGATGTAGAGTGGGCTGTGGAGAACCCGGACTTAGCTGTGTATCAGGACTGTGCATCTGAGAAGTTACTGCCCAAAGGGTGCTGATAAAACAGGGCGGCCTAAAGACATGAAAGCAACCTAAATGTCCACTGACAGATGAATGGGTAAAGATGTGGTAAATATGTACAATGGAATACTACTCAGCCATAAAAAAGAATGAAATAATGCCATCTGCAGCTACATGGATGGACCTAGAGATTATCATACTAAGTGAAGTAAGTCAAAAAGAGAAAAAAAAATATCATGTGATATCACTTATTTGTGGAATCTAAAAGGTGGTACAAATGAATTTATTTACAAAACAGAAATAGACTCACAGACATAGAAAATAAACTTATGGTTACCAAAGGGAAAAGGGAGGGAGGGATAAATTAGGAGTTTGGGATTAACAGATAACATACTACTATATATAAAATAGATCATCAATAAGGACAAGTATACGAGTATAGCACAGGGAACTATACTCAATATTTTGTAATAACCTATATGGGAAAAGAATCTGGAAAAGAATATATCTATATATCTATATCTATATCTATATCTATATCTACATCTATATCTATGAATATATATCTGAATCACTGCTGTATACCAGAAATTAACACAACACTGTAAGTCAACTATACTTCAATAAATAAATAAATTTAAAAACAGGATGGCCTAAAAATGGCAGAAGTCCACTACCAAGAGACTGCCAAGTTCCCAGCACCTACTGGTTGAAGGGTATCTGGGCAAGATCAAACGGCTAGAGGGAGAAACGGACTTTATACTAACTCCATCAAATCCCGTTAACACCTGTGAGAGCTTATAGCACCACCTACTGTTTTAAAGGAAAATTTCCTTCTGTTAAAAGTCATGGCTTATTTTTTATAGTATTTAGGACAAGGAAGTGTAATAAACCCCAAACCAATAATTCTCTGCAGTGGTTTGGGGAGATTAAAAAAATGCCTGATCAGCAATGACTGTGTGCTGTTTGCAGTGTTTGTGATCATAGCTCTGAACTGCTGGCAGGTGAGTTGCTGCTATAGCATCCAGGAAGTGAAACCGTAATAATAAGGGGGTCCATTGACTACTTACTGTCATCTGTGTACTGTTCTAAGAGGCTGATGTGAACTATCTCATCTAAATACCATGTAACTCTACTAGAGGGGGAATACTGTATGCATTTGGCAGAGGAAGAATCTGAGGCTCAGAGAAGTAACTTGGCCAAGATCGTACACCTGGTAAGTGGGAGAGCTGGGGTTCTAGCCCAGACAGTTGGACTCTCAGGACAAGTGCCTGGGACTCTCTAGAGCAGGGAACTCTCTCCTGATGACCAGGGTGGTTGGTACCTCATGTGTCTATCAGCAGGGCACAGCTGCAGTGTGATTCATTTTCCTTTTTACATCTGATTAATAACACACTTTTGTCTTTAAGAATATCTTTTATTCACACAAGCAATATACCTAATAATCATAGCCAACCCTTATATATCGCTGTGTGCCAGGCACTTTTCTAAGTACTTTACATTTATTAATTCATTTGTGCTTCTCAACATCCCTATGAATTAAGTACTGTTTTTAATCTCCATTTTACAGATGAGGATATGGTTCAGTAACTCTTCAAGGTCACACAACTAGGAAGTGACAGAGGCTGTGTGTGAACCCAGATAGCCTGGCTGCTTGCTGTGTGTGTACTGCCCTGTAGTGCTTGTAAGAAGTTATTTTAAAATAGTCCACGTATATTTGGATATTAGATAAATCACAGAGGTGTGTATCATGGTGCTCAAATCTTAGAAAAATGTGAGGGTGGAATGAAAGTGACAGAAGTTTAGGAAAGACTGATTTAAACAGTTTCTAATTTTTATTGGAAGCAATGCTTGAATATCTACTTGGGCCTACTTGCCAGAGTTTCTCCAGAGTAGATACAGGGGTGTGGATTTACTGGGTTATTGTTCTCCAGAATGACTGTACCAACATGTTTTACTTTTTTTTTTTTTTTTGGTCCCTTTGAGTTTTATGTAGTTTTCCTAAGAGTTTCTAGAATTTGCAGGCCTTCAAGGACGATTGGTAATATTAGAAATTAAGTAAAATTTGGTTGTTTGTTACTCCTAAGAGCATAAGAGAAGGAGAGTCTGCATATTTACCTAAGAAATACGGTTAGCTCACCCCACTGGGACAGAAGCTAGTGTATCATCAGAACACTCAGTTCATTCCACCAGAGCACATGTTTCTGGAAATCAGTGCCACCTAGTGGTGACTAAACCCCTCAGTAGCTATCAGAGTGTGGTGTATGTGTGCGTGAGTGTGTGTGAGGAGGGAGGGCGTAGGGGGAGGACATCCAGGAACCTGCATATTTAAAAAGCAGCCCGGCTTAGCCATCGGCCCAGTTTCCCCTTCTCCATCCTTTTCACGGCACCTGCTGTACAGCCCTGGGATTACATGGGAGTCTGGGCATGTTCTGGGCCTGTTTGGGGTTGAGGAACACCTTCCCCCCAGGCCTGGACACAGAGGAGACGTGGAAGCAGGCTCATGTGTTTGGGGTAAGAAGAAAGTGCCCAAACTGACCTCAGTTTTGCCAAATCCATTTGCATTTCCTCCCTTGTTGATTTCTGTTGACCTCCGCCCTCCTTTGACTTTGTGGCTCACCTGGAACTTCTGACTTTTTCTCCTTCATCCTCAGCCTGGTGTCTAGGGCCTCATCATCACACTGCAGGTTCTCCCCTTGTCCGTTTGTACGCTCCCCTGCATGTGGGTGTGCACATCACCAAACACTGCTACATAAACATTCCATCCATCCATCCATCCATCACTTTACTTCTTCATTCTTGACTTATGTTGTTTCCTTGCCTGGAACATAAATTCTATCCCTTCTCCACATTCCACTGGTCCGCTGAGCTCAGCTTCATCGATTGATTCCTCCTGTAGGGTCTGTCTGCACCTCGCGCCCTCCACTGCCCCTCACCCCGCGTCGCCCATCCCAGTCTGCTCGTATACTCTGCAGCAGACTTCTGCTCTGAAGCAAATCGTCAGCTACTCCAGGACAGAGGTTATTTTATGTAATTCTTTGGTATTTTCCAAACCCTGTGCACGTTCCCAGATGCATAGCTGAACTTGTTTCCTTGCCCAGCGAGTTGTCCTTATACTCACTATACTGTAAAAAAGAAGGAAAGTTAACCTTTCATTGAGCACCTGGTATCTGCCAGATACTATTCTTAGAATTTTATGTCTAAGCATAGTATCTGCTTCCGTTTGCTTTTACGTCTGTTACGTTATTTAAAACCTAAAAACCCTGTGAGGAGAATGTTATCCATTTCTTAAGGCTGGAAAAATTAGATCATCAATGTTTAATAAATGTGTAGCTATAATGAACAGGTCAGCATTTAGACCCAAGCCCATCTGACCCCCCAAACCCATACCGTTTGCTGCACTGTCCTGTGCCATTTGGTGTTAGACCCTCCCTTTAAGGTGTTTCATGATGATGCCTTGCATTCCGGCCGGCCTTCCTGCACAGTCCACTTCCAGGGAAGCAGAGCATCCTTTTCCCTGGGGTAATACTGGGTCCTTTCCCTGTACCATCCTGACGCCCACCTGGAGCCCCCCTTCTTCACACTTAGTTTGACTTATATCCACATAAGTAAAGCAGTACGCCTGCCTACTTTTTTTTTAAACTAGCATTTCTGGATTAAAACATCTCTTAAGGTAGAGTAACTCTGGGTCCCGGAACACGAGATGCTTTGCAGGACACACAAACCTTGCTACACTTTGAGCTCACTTTTTGGGTGGTCAAAGAGCTCACAGAGCTGGTGTCTTTGGACGTCTCTGTACAACTAGCCCCAGAGAACTGCCCAACTGACTCAGGACCAATCTGCATCTGTTCGCTTGTGTTTCCTGCCCCAGGGATTCCGAGCCAGCCCTCGGCACCTTAGGAGACGGGCCGCAGTGGCTGCAGCTGCCCGGCTGGAAGAAGCCAAGCCTGCCGTGGAGGTTCACCACCAGAGCGAGCAGGAGATCTCAGTGAGGAAACGAAGAATCAAGAAAAGCAGCCGCGTCCAGCCAGAATTCTACCACTCCGTCCAAGGTGCTTCCACCAGAAGACCTGTAAGTAGGGAATTGTCTTTTCAAAGAATATTAAATACGTTGTCACATGGGGTGGTCCTTCTCTTAGTCTTCAAAAATGATCAGATTGACTTTAAGTATTTCGGTTATTCTCTTATTGTCCCAGCAAGTAGTTGGGAACTCATGTGAGTGCCAGCGAGGAATGTGGTTTCCCAGGAAGCGCTGGTCAGCGGTGGGCGGGGGTATTGAAAGCTGGTGAATCCTGACCACATGAGAGTGGGGTCTAGAGCCCAGATGGGGCCATGGAGTAACCCAGCTGAGGCCTGCAGTGGTGAGAGCTGAGTTGGCGGAGGCGGGTGACAACGAAGCAGCATCGGGATGGGGAGGTGTGGAGGGAGGGGCCGACCCCCTCATCTGCCGCTGTCCTCTGGGTGATGCTGAGGGAGCTGGCCCCTCCAGGTGGCTTTTATGTTGCTCCCAGGCGGCACTGCTGTCCTCTTCTAGCAAGTGCCCTGGGTCTTTGTCAGCCGAGCTGCCTTACTTACCAGGGAAGTTACCTGAATAGTTACCTGGGAAGCTTGGTGCCCACCTGGTCTTCACCCCTTCTCCTCTCCTGAGCACACTGTTCCATGTGCTCTGACCTTCTGTCTTGGTTGGGGCTCTTACACAGGGACTTGTTGCCGGGGCTGTGACAGTTAAGGATTTGGGGCTTAGACACTGACATTTTAAAAACTTTCAAGGAGTATTTCATGACTGCAGTAATCTTGCATTGCTTCAGCATTAAAAAAAAAGTTTCCCTGGGCCTCCCTGGTGGCGCAGTGGTTGAGAGTCCGCCTGCCGATGCAGGGGATACGGGTTCGTGCCCCGGTCTGGGGGGATCCCACATGCCGCGTAGCGGCTGGGCCCGTGAGCCGCGTAGCGGCTGGGCCTGTGAGCCGTGGCCGCTGAGCTTGCGCGTCCGGCAACGGGAAAGGCCACGACAGTGAGAGGCCCACATATCAAAAAAAAAAAAAAAAAGTTTCCCTATGAGTCCTTCCTGTGCTGTGGAGAGCCCATGATTGTCATGACTCATGCCAGCTGAGGGGAGCCAGCAAGATTTGACGTGATAATATGTCTCTGTAAATTATTAAAACAGACCTGCCCTTCTGTGGGGTAACTGTGTAGCAGACGCATGTGGAGTTTGCGGCCAGGCCAGCGACAATGGCAAGAAACTGAATTCCTTTACAGAAAAGGTCCTGTTTAGCCAATGGTAAAATAAGCACATACTTTGAGATGAGAGCCTTCCTTTCATGATTGAATAAAACAAAGGCTAAGTAGAATTTGGTATCTGTGCGGAGCAACAGGAAATTATAGGTAAATTTATTCATTCAACAAACATAAGCTTTTTTATACAGGAAATAAGAGATGCACAGGTATGTATTAATAACTAACGGTTATTGAGTGCTTACTTGTGTAACTGGAATTATTCACCTTCTGAATGATGAAACTGAGGCCCAGAGAGGTAAATAACTTGCCTAAGTTGACCCAGTTGTTTGGGGGCAGAGTCTAGGCTTTGGGTCTAGGTGGCAGACTCCAGGGCCCCAGCACTTCCTCTTCAAGCTTCTGCCTTCCTGCGCCCCAGCACCTCACCGCTGAGTCCATGGACAGACACGCACACGAGTAAACGGAGTGCAGGCCTGTGTTAGGGAAGTGCTGCCGTGGACCGTGCACCTGGCATTAGGGAACATGGCGCATGGCCAGAAATACTTGCAGAGAAGCAGACGCCTGAGGCGTGTCCTGAAAGAGGAGGAGTTGATCCGGTGGGAAGTGGAGGGAGGCGTCTCTGACGAGGAGAACGCGAGCAAGAGCACAGCGGCATGACGGCGTAGGAGGCCCGGGACAGCTCAAGGTGGTGCTGGTGGATGAGACCAGGGTCATTAAGGGATACATTATGCTGAATTGTTGGGTTTATCTTCTGTGACAGGGCTCTATTGAAGGTAGGAAATAGGCACATTGTTTCTCCTGCTCAGAATCTAGCTAATTCTTTCTTCTAATCTCCCCATGTGGATGGAGAAGTACGTGATCATCATCAAAGTTTAGGAGCCCTCCACCCCCACCCCCCTTATTCCCTCCTGAGCACTGTACCTAACTGCCTTGGTAATAAATCATAGTCCCCATGCCTGATGACTCTGCCCTGGAACACCTCTCCTTGCTCTCTGTTTGCCTGGAGAATTCCAGTTCACCTCTGAACACTGACTCGAGATCAGGCGGCTTGTTCAGGAAAGTCTTTTCTGATCCTTCCCATCAGAGTGAGGTGCGTTCTGCTTTGGTCCTCGGCCCTTTGTACAGATCTCCAGCAGTGCAGTTACTCAAGTGAAAAAGGCAGGCTCAGTAGTGAGATGGACACGGGTTCAACTCCCGCTCTATGTATCCGGCAGGAAACAGCTGGCACCATAAGAGTTTAATGGAAGGACTGTTTCCAGAAGCATGGGCAGGGCTGAGATGCTCCAGCAGCCTTCAGGTAGAACCTACCTACCTACCTACCTACCTACCTTCCACCCCTCGCCTGCAGGGGTGGCAGACGGCAGGGGCCTTGCTGGGTCCTGGTCCAGCCAGAGGGCTGGAACCAAGGAAGCAGCCTTCCCTAGGAGCTGTGGCCGAGGCGCGCAGCCCGGCCAGAACCCAGTGAGTCAGGAAGGGGGCAGGGCAGAGTCACCAAGGATGGGCAGAGTCTGAGGGGACAGACAGGGACCCTGGCAAGTAAAAGACATACATGGTCATCTTTGCCGAGCTGTTCAACTCCTCGAGACTCAGCTTTCTTTCTGTGAAGTGATAATAACAACGGCGACCTCACTGAGGGGTGAGGATGAACTGACGTGTGGAATTAGGTGGCCTGCTTGGCATAAATACTCAGTACATGATAATTCCTTCCTCTCCTTCCCCCCCCAGACCTTGACTTCCTTGGGGTCCATATCGTCTGACCTAGCATATTTCCTGGCATATGACATCTGATGCATTTTATTGAACAAATGAATGAATGATATTTATACATGACGTGTACGTTGGGCACTATAGGAATTCAGAGAATGGAGAGGTTTTTTCTTTTACCCCCGAAATAAGGTGGCTAGGGGGTAACCACTTCATGGGAGAGACAGGATTGAGTTGGGCTTAATTATGGGTAGGAATTGGAGAGCCAGCAGACGTCAGCTCTGGGAAATAGAGTAAGCAGAAGTGCTGAGAACTGTTTGGCTGGATGTGGGGGATTATGAGAAATGTATAAGATAAAGCTGGAAAAAGAGATGGGGCCAGAATACCACTGTGTTTAAACATTTTCTGTGCTTCATGGAGACCCTGGAAGAGATGAGTAACATCGTCATAGCAGGATTTTAGGAATTAAACCTGACCAGGCTGGGTCAGAGGGGAGCAGGACAGGGCCGGGTCAGTAGCTAATGCAGAGGTCTGGGTGTCCAGTGATTAGGACCTGAGCTTGGACATTGCCTGTAGCTAGCTCTCTGCCGGCATCTGGTGGTCACTGCTGGTAGGGAACCTGAGGAAAGCCTTTGCCCTCTCCTCTTCGGAAGGATCATTTGGAAGGGAGCAGGGTTAGAGGACAGGAAATAACAGTGGAGGCTGCCTTGTTGCTAGGGGCAATAAAAACATTCCAGGAGCTTCTTTGGGGCGGATAAAGCTCACTTCCTCCGTCTGTGTGCTTCTCCTAGGGTCGTTGTTTTGTAGACTGGAAATCGTCAGAGTTGGTAGCAGGAGGCTGTTGGCTTCGTATGTCGTGTGATTCCTGCTTAGCCTCTGCTGACATTTCCCTGTTTTCGTGCTGTAGGTGGACTTGAGCGCTGGCCTTGGGTCCTCTTCTGGGTTTGGTTAGGTGCAGCCAGTAGGGCCAGCACATGAGCCCGGAGCCTGTGCCTTTTCCAGCTTACACAGTGGGAGGGAGAGGGGGGACGAGCCAGTGTTAACTCTGATGGTGGCCTGGAGATGAAATAAAAATAAATCAGCTGTAGTGACTCAGGATTATTTGAATGACTTTATGTGAAGCACTCCTGGCGTTTCTAGCAGCAGTCTGAGTAAGAAACAGGCCCACGAGTCAAAAGACTGACACAGGATGTAGCAGTGAAGGAGATGACTCAGAAGCTGTGACAGTGCACTTTCAGCCAGGAAGCGGGCCCCGAGCCACATGGAATGCATTATACTTTAGCATCTCTGGCTGCTCCAACCTATTTACTTTTTCTGAATTCAACATTTATACTCCAACGTGGCTGTAAGAATTAGTAACAGAGATCTCTAATATAAACATAATTAGTAATATATGTGTTTTCTTTCCCCCTCTTTTGAAAAATGAGATGTTTCTAAGAGTGAGTAAGCCAAACATTTATCCTGATTTTCTCTTTTAGGTCTTGGGACTTATCCTATATATTGAGACATGTCACTGGAACATTTAGGAATTTTTACCACCTTGGAGCAGAAAAGATAATTAGATCCACATCTCCCTTGGTTCTTTAGTATTTTGACAGTGCAGTTGGGTCTGAATCCTAGAGCTTGAAACATCACCATCATCACCACCATCACCGGAGCGCTCACGTCACTGCACGCTCGCTACCTCGGCAGCCCACAGGCAGCAGGTGTCTCTGTGCTTCCCTGTTTTCTCCCCTTTCATCTTTCCAGCAGTTCTCTGGGGTAGGTGCTCACTCTTCGGAGGAGGAGGAGACCTGTCAAGGTCACACAGCTGGTGGATGATGGAACGAAGATATAAACCCAAGTGTTCCGACCAGAGCAGTTGGAATAGATTCAGATGATCATGTTTCTAGGCCTAGAGGTTTATCCTAATGAACCCTCCTAAAGTACTTTCATCAGTTTGAGTCTCAGGTTTCCTAGCTGCATAGAAGTTTTTTAACTTTTGCATCAATCAAAACCTATTTTTAAATGGTACTGGAAAGCATAGATAAGCCCCAAACCTCACTCTTGCCATGCTTTTCGTTCAGCCTCTCCGCCTGGGGCAGAGGACCTGGGAGGCAGCAAGAGTCTTTCTACCTAGTGCCCTCATTTGAGCC